AATAAAAAGTCATTGAATAGAAAATAGTTACAAACATAAGTACTGAGTGCAACAAAAAAAAATAAAGACCCACCTATATGTGTTTTCTACAACAAACCATTATATATAAAGACACATTTAAAAAGGGATGGAGGAGATGTACCATGCTAATGCTAATCAAAAGAAAGCTAGGGTAACTATCTTAATCTCAGACAAAGATAACTTTAAAACAAGGACAATTATCATGGATAAAGAGGGGCATTACATAATGATAAAGGAGTTTATTCTCCAAGAAGACATAATCTTTAACATGTATGCACCTAACAATTGAGTGTCAAAATATGCGAGGCAAAACTGATAGACCCGCAGAAAAAACTGTACAGAACTACTATTATGGTTAGAAATTTCACTATCCTATCAGTAACTGACAGATTCAGCAGGGAGAAAATCAGTAATAATATAGTTTAACCAAACAGCACTATCAGTCAATTGGATCTAATAGACATTTATAGAATGCTTTTTCCAACAGCAGCAGAATACACATTCTCAGAATCACATGGAACATTCACCAAGGCAGACCAGAATAGAGAGCCTAGAAATAAAGCCACACAAAGAAAGTAAACTGATCTTCAATAAAGGAACAAAAGCAATTCAATGAAGGAAGTATATATTTTTCAACAAATGGTGTTGAAACAATTGGATGTTTATATGTAAAAATGATGTAGACACAGACTTTACACAAGGAGTTCCCAACCCCCAGGCAATGGAACAGTACCAGTCTGTGGCCTGTTAGGAACCAGGCTGCACAGCAGGAGGTGAGTAGCTGGAGAGCCAGAAGCTTCATCTGTATTTGCAGCTGCTCTTTAGCTCTAGCATCACCGCCTCAGCTCCGCCTCAGATCCTCAGGCATGAGATTCCCATAGGAACACCAGTCCCTGGTGCCAAAAGGGTTGGAGACCTCTGTCTTACACCTTTCACAAAAATCAACTTGAAATGGATCATAGACCTAACTGTAAAATGCAAAACTATAAAACTTCTAGAAGAAAGCATAGGAGAAAATGTAGGTGACTTTGGGTTTAGCAGTGAATTTTTAGATATAACACCTAAAGCATAATTCATGAAAGACAAATGGATAAGTTAGACTTTTAAGTTTTATTAAAAGTAAAAACTTCTCTGGTAAGAGAATGAAAAAGCAAGCCAAAGACTAGGGGAAAATATTTTCCAAAAACATGATAAAGGACTGATATCTAAAATATATAAAGAACTCTTAAAATGCAACAAGAAAACAAATCAATTGAAAAATGGGCAGTAGGAGCTCTCCTTCATTGCCGGGGGTGGAATTAAAATGGCACAGCCACTTTGGAAGACAGTTTGGCAGTTTCTTACAAAGCTAAACACTAATTTATATGACAGCAGTCACACTCCTAGGTATTTATTTAACTGAGTAGAAAACATATCCGCACAAAAACCCACATTCAGATGTTTATAGCAGAATTATTCATAATCACCCAAACTTGGAAGCAACCAAGATCTCCTTACATAGATGAATGGATAAACAAACTCTCATGCATCCATACAATAGAATATTAATCAGCAATAAAAAGTAATGAGCTGTCATGCCACTAAAAGACAGGCAGGAACATTAAACGCATATCACTAAGTGAAGGAAGCTAATCTGAACAGCTATCTATTGTATGATTCCAATTACATGAAGGAAAAGGCAAAACTATGGAGACATTAAAAAGATCAGTGGTTGCCAGGGGTTCATGGGGAAGGAGGGAAGGTGAAGCACAGGTGATTTTTAGGGTGATAAACTATTTTGTAGGATACTGTAATGGTGGATATATGTCATTATGCATTTATCAAAAACTAAAACTATATAATGCAAAGAGTAACCTTAACATAAACTATGTACTTTAGTTAATAATAATGTATTAATATTAGTTCATTAATTGTAACAAATGTGCCACATTAATATAAGGTGTCAATAATAGGGGAAACTGTGTGTCAAGATGGGGAGTAATATATGGGAACTTTATGTACTATTTGCTCTTATTTTTAATAAATAAAGGGGCAATAAGCTAAGGTTCAAGAGATAAGATGATGTATGTGCAAAACAGGTATTTTACAAGGTATAACAAAGTAACTTTAAAAAATTGAAAAGGTAGGGGAAAATCTAAAAATGAACACAGAATCGATGTGGAAAACTACCAAAATTACTGTAATTTAAGAAGTCCTAAATACGTAATGGAATATATCACATTTCTGGATTGGAAGATTTAATGTAAAGATCTTAGTTCTCCCCAAAGTTTCTATAAGTTCAGTATAATCCTAATAAAAATTTCATCATTTTCTGGTGGAAATTGATATGCTGATACTAAAACATAAATGGAAATTCAAAGAACCAAGAATAGCCAAGAATAACCAAGGTAATCTTGATGAATAAGAACAAAATTGAGGGACTTATGTTGCCTGACATCAAGACTTATTATAAAGCTTCATAATTAAAATGGGATCTTATTGGTACAAAGTTAGACAAACAGACCAGTGGAACAGAGTACAAAGGCCAGCAGTACATATGCTTCTATATATCCCTGTATATATTTCTTTCTTTATAACCAAGTTGCCATCACAGTGCTTTCCTAATGGGGGTGAAGTTCTCACATTTGAGGTGGGAAGCAATTTTCAGGAAAAAAATGTTTTGGAAGGGCCAGAACTCAATATCTCACTGCTCTACCTCCTCTAGCTAGCTCTGTTTCCATTGCCAGTGTCCCAGCTCTGTCATTTAGGGCATTTATTTTATTCATTGAGACATGATCCAGGAATTTGGCTTAGGCTGCAGTTGAGTAGTTTGGAGTCCTGTCATGCCTATTAACTTCTGCAAATTCAACCAAATATATTCATGGGGGGTGGGGAGAGGAAAAATAATGTAAATACTAAAGCCAGTCTGCTTTTCCATTCAGTAACCATAAAATTGAGTAGTAAGCATGAGATGAGAAATGTGAACTGTGTTCCAGCCATGGGTTCTCACGTGTGTCTGAATATGTGAGCATCTTGCTTCGGTTAGTGTGATCTGTGTTTTCCACACAGCATGCTCACTGAACACGAACTACTACATCTGCTGTTCAGATGAAGAAATAGCATCTAGTCAAATCCTGAGGGAAAAAACAGCTGAGTTCAATTTTCTGAGGCAGTGTATGTACTATTCATGGGCTTGGGCTCTCAGGCCAGCCTACCTGGGTTAAAATCCTAGCTCCTACTGTCTGTGTGGTCTGGGCAAGTTACCTAACCTCTCTGTGCTCAGTGTCCTTATTTATAAAATTGAGATAATACTAGCACCTCATAGCATTGTCATGACAATTAAATGACTAACATAAACTGTAGCTAGCACACAGTTAAGTACATAATCAATGTTAACTATTTTTATTATCATTTTATTATCGTAAGTATTATTATCACTACCAAGAGATGATAGGGTACATTCACAAGGGATTTTCAAGGAAAACTTAGCTAACTTTTTGTTCACCTTCAGCTTGTACTTTAGAACCCAACCCCAGCATGAAATATGATTTTACTGTACTGTACTTGTTTCCCTCTCTGGTCCTTGGTTTTTTAGGGAGCTGATAGTAAGTTGTGGCTTATTGTGGAATAGTCATATGTCATAGAACACAGACATTTGTGGCAGGAGGGCTTGGGAATGGGGCAAGATGTATTTCCCTAGAGGCACTGTAAGTGTGCAGACACCCTGAAATATGTTTACATATATAAGTCCACATTTTCAGCCACCAGCATTTTTCTGTGCACAAAGTTCCCTTGACTCTTTTAAGGTCGGTATAGCCCTTCTGCTTCTGTTCTTTGCTTTTCACTAGAAAATGATTGCAGCTTGTGTTGTGGAATGGTACCTGTGCTGACGCTAGCCTCGTGCTGCTTGTGGGTGCGTTGTCATAGTGTACAACGCTCTGCTGGTTTTTTGCTGTTCTTCCCAGAGCCCATTGATTTTCAACTCACCATGGACTGTTACCTTCGAAGAATTTTGAAGTGCTTATAGGTGGCTGTTTGCCCTTTCACCCTTCCTCCTTCCACACACACAGGTACAGACCCTCATATTTACCTTCCAGGACTATGAAACTTAGATCCTGTTATTATCCCTCACCTCATGCCCATTTACCCTTCTTCTCATGGAAAAGCTCTTCATTTTTAGCTGTCAGTGCACAGCACTGAGACACACACAGCTGTTTGCCACTTTGCTATCATCAGCAACTCATCTCTTTCACTGCCGGAATGTCAGAACGTCGGGACCTGACTCAGACCCCAGCCATGATAGCAACTGCTTCCTTTAGGGGCATTACCAAGGATAACTAAGCTTTGGTGTGCTTCTCTGTTTTTCTTTACTCCCTCCCAGCCCCCGCCGCCCCATCTTTCCTGTCTTCTGTGGTTTCTTTGCTTTTGCTCACAAAACAACAACAACAACAACAAAAAACCCCAAACTGCTCATTTATAGACCTTGCCAGCTAATGAGCTCCATCTTTCTGTACTTTGAACAAATACATCAAAATCAAATGGGTTTTTTATTGAGCTTCTCTTGGCCATGTCATTTGAGGCTCAGGCATCTGAACCTGAATTTACTGCCAAAAGAAGGGTTTGCCCCATGTGTTAGGGGCATGAGAATTAGAAGGATTTTGCACTCACCAGGCTCAGTGTCTGCGAGATGAGAGAGTTGGTCTTTGAATAGAACAAGTTATGATCTACTGTCACATGTCCATACCTTAGAACAAGGGAAATAAAAGTTTAATGAGTTCTATTTTAAGGGAATTTGTGTAGTGTGTTTAAAACAACTTAGGAATGTGCATTTAATATTTCATAGTAATGATGTAAAATTATGGCACACTTGTGTATTGCAAATTGAAGAATCTTGAAAATAACTTATATCCAGAAGGTGCATTAGATTTTATCTTTCAAGTTACAAATATCCTGAAATGTTAACACCATCTCATTTTTGTGTTTTTTGCCTTTCTTCCTAGAATATTTTCCTTCTTGGATATAGTAACTTTGTGCCGATGTGCACAGATTTCCAAGGTAGAGTATTAACCAGATTTCTAATCAGTAAATATCAAGTTTTATTAGAATGAGGATGAGTTGTAGTTCCAGTAAACAGTTAAAAATTAAAATGTCATACTTTATACTTAACATAACACAATGTTATCATAATTCCATATTCGATTATTTAATGTATTTCAAGAATAAAAGTTTGAAAAGATGAAGGTAGAATCAAGACTTTAATAGTTTCTGTCTACGGCCATGCTACCCTGAACAAGCCCAATCTTGTCTGATCTCGGATGCTAAGCAGGGTCTGGCCTGGTTAGTACTTGGATGGGAGACCACCTAGGAAGACCAGGTGCTGTAAGCGTAAAAAATAAAAAATAAGGCATTGTAAACTGACAAGGTCCTTGCAATCTGTGAGGTCAACCAAGGGTTGCCTCGCCTAAAAAAAAAGAATTAAAGCTTTAACAGTCTTAATAAATGTATCTCTTTCACCCCAATCTTTCCTCCTTTACTTCCTCCTCCCAGGCTTGGAACATCTTAGCCCTGGATGGAAGCAACTGGCAAAGAATAGATCTTTTTAACTTTCAAACGGATGTAGAGGTAAGTTAATCTTGTTTTAGACAAAGGACTTTTTAAAAATATAAGTGAACTGTTAACTCTTTCCTTTTTATTTTGTTGAATTTAAATTTAAGGTGCCAAGGTAGAATAGAGAGGAAAAAAACCTGGAAGGTATTTGTATATATCGAGGCCAAAATTTTGCTTGTATTTTACTTTTTGCTCTGTATCAGTAACAGATTACCTTTTTCCCTTGTGCATGTTGTACCACTCAGCTTTTTAAAGCCTCACAGCAACATCATTAACACTTGGTTCAATGCCTTGATCTTAGGAGACTGTTGACAAATATTTGTCGATCTGAAAGATCCACTGAGAATTCTAGGTCAGCACCAAGAATGGAGAAGCGGCAGGAGCATGGGCCCAGGAGTGAGGCTGGAGGTGTCACCAAGCGTCTCCCAGTTCAGCCCCTTGGGCCACGTGATCTCTCAGTGCCTCAGTCTTATTATCTATAAAATAATCTTTAAAACCTTTTATAATTCCAGGATTCTGGTGGATCTATCTGGAAACATGTACATCTCCATTTAAGAGTGGCAAACCTGACCAAAAGAGAAAAGCTTATTTTAAAACAACTTTAATATTAAATACCAATTTCTAACCAAAAAGAGGGAAGTAAAAAAGAGCACTGCATATAGTAATTTCTAGCTGTTTTAAGGATCTGGAGGTTCTGAAGTTTATTACCCAATGTTAGTAAAATCTTACTCAGTTCTAGTTTAGCCAGCTCAGTTACAGCAGTGGAACTGCATTTTAATTCCATTATGTATGCAGCGTGTTCATCCAATATTTTTACCAAAGTGTATGTTTTATGTATTTTTTTAATGGATAAGGAAATGGATGTGTTTAAAAGTGGGATGGGTCCAAACAATTTCCTGGGAGTTACTTAACTTGGTGTTACCTAGAAGAACTAACGGCCAGTTGTAAAGGCCTTTTACCTCCTTCTAGGTTACTTGCTGCCTCTGGTCCCACCTTCTAGGTTACTTGCTGCCTCTGGTCCCACCTCAAACCAGTGAGCAGAGCACCTGGAGCAGGTAGGGCTGAGCACAGGTCACCTACAGTTGGTTGCAGTGCCCTGAGCTTGGAAGGGCACAGGGACTTCAGGGCTTCATACCTGTCGTGGAAAGATAAGCTCTAGTTCCTGGCTTGGACTGTGGTCCCTGAATTAGGAGTTCTTCAATGCTCTTTCCAGACTTAATAGCCATGATTGCAACAGTGTCCCACCCAAACATGCTGACGTGTAAGTCCCCTTCAAACTGATAATCTCTAGATCTTTGTTCATTAAATTCCAAAAATTGTAGCTATTTCTACTGGCCAAAGGAGAGCCATTGTTTTAAAAACATTTTTGCAAGAGATTTTTTTTTCTTTTTATGTGGTTCCTTTTGTCTCCTCAGTTTTCTTTGGTGATTTTTTTCAAGTATGCAACTTTTTGGAAGGTACTTTAAAAACTTTTAAATTCAGATTAAAAAATACTATTTCAACTAAATATCACTATCTTGTGCATTATTTGATTTCAGAATTTGAGCTGACTGCTGACTGCAGCTGTAAAAACACATTGCAGAAATACCTAAGACTACTTCCACTAGATAAGAGGGTAGTACATGGTTCACCAGCTATGTAAAGAATTACATGAAATCGTTGGCACCAGGGTTTCAATCTAGTCTAATACTGCTTAGGTCCCTTTGGGGCCAGCACCTTGAATCCTGGTAGATTATGAACCAAGTGTTGGGGCCTCCCACAGTCCCTAAACTGGACCCTCCAGGTAGTCACTGGGAAGTATTCCATGGATAAACAGATGGCTTCAAATTCACTTCTTTGGGACAAAAGTGGTGATTTTTAGATATGTTGAGAGAAGAGAGATGCCAAGGATCAGGATTCACATACTAATACTGTGTGCCTGGCACTACTCCAAGCACTTTATATATATTGTCATTTAATTCTCTGAAAAACACCATATTGAAGAAACTGAGGCTCAGAAAGTTTGAGTAACTTACCCAAGGTCACTCACTTGGTAAGAGGAGAATATAGATACCTCGAACAGTCGATTACACGACTGTCACATTTCAGAGAAGAGGCAAAATCATCCAGATGACAAGTGTGCATTGTGCCTTTCCTTTAGCATTACTCTTTCCTGAGTGTTTCCCTGATGTTTATGCATTTTCCATACCTTTAAAAGTTGGACATTTTGTTGTCATCGTCTTCATGGTTATTAAAGATGCTGCCAGGCCAAAAGTGACAAATAACCAAGTAGAATGTTAATCTAAAAATCTTAACTCCAAGGGTCCCTCCAGTTAGGTCTTATTTTTCTCTAAAGCCCTGCATACCTTCACTATACTATCTTACAGATAATACACATAGAACTTGAATTTTGCAGTTAGAAAGGGTTTCCTCATTTTTTCTTCTTAGTTGTAAACAATGGAGCAGAAAATTCTGACTGTAATTTTTTTATTCTAGTACAAAAACTTTTACTCCAAAGAAAGGAAGAATAAAAAGCTTATATAAGTGCAACTAACTTGAAATGAAGAAAAATATACGATGTGCTCCATTTGTAGACATTGGTGTGTAGTTGTATTTTGTTTTTGCTGTTTTCAGTACTTAAATATTTATCTTGTATTTCCAAATCATAATCTCTCCCTTGCCCCCCGTAAATGACAACAGCTTATTTTACAATTGTCTAGAATTTTGTTTGAAAAATTCCAGAAGGAATTTTTATTAACTTAGGTAATATTCAAAAAAATATAAATAAAGCCACTAGCAATATCAAAGTTTAGATTTTTAACTTAAGTAAGAGTTAGCCAGATAATAATAGGTGTGAGTTCTGATCCTATGATCCTATGGTTTGATGTGTCCTAGTGCATTCTTAGTGCTTACAGTTCAGTGCCAAGATTGCAGTTTTATAAAGTAAGGATAATAGTATTAAAAAACAAATAAGTCTACGGCCATGCTACCCTGCATAAGCCCGATCCTGTCTAATCTCGGAAGTTAAGCAGGGTCGGGCCTGGTCAGTACTTGGATGGGAGACCACCTAGGAAGACCAGGGGCTGTAGGTGTAAAAAATTTAAAAAAAAATAAGGGATTGTAAGCTGACAAGGTTCTTGCAATCTGTGAGGTCAACCAAGGATTGCCTCACCTAAAAAATAAATGAATGAATGAATGAATGGTGCTTTTCAGTGTTTCCTCCCTTGTGGAGGGAATAGCTGTGCAGAGCACACAGGCTTTAGAATCAGATAAACCTGTTAGAACCCTATCTCTGCGACTCACTAACATGTAACTTTGGTAATTTAATTATTTGATGTCTTTATTTGCTAAATGAAGGTAATGGATCCAATCTGTATTAGTCAGGATATCTCCAGAGATATAGAACCAATAAGATATGTGTGTATAGATATAGAGAGATTTGTTATAAGAAATTGGGTCATATGACTATGGAAGCTGAGAAGTCCCAGGATCTGCCATCGGCAAGCCAGATGCCCAGGAGAGCCAGTGTGTAGCTCCAGTCCAAGTCTAGTGGCCTGTGAATCAGCAGAGCTGATGGTATAAGTTCCAGTCTGAAAGCTGGCAGATTCGAGACCCAGGAAGAGCTTATGTTTTAGTATAAGTCCAAAGGCCAGAAAAGACCAATGTCCAGCTCAAGCGGTCAGGTAGAAGGAGTTCCCTCAGCCTTATTTGAGTCAGGTCTCCAGTTGTTTGGATGAGGCCCACTCACACTAGGGTGGGCCATCTACTTTACTCTGCTGATTCAAATGTTAATCCCATCCAGGAAAACCCTCACGGACACACCCAGAATAATGTTTGGCCAAATGTCTGGGCACCCTGTATCCCAGTCAGTTCATTCATCACAAGATCACTCCTTATCAATTTGGCACCCATATACATCTCCTTAAACCAGCTTAATCTCTAAACAATAACAAGGTTATAATTTCATTTAACATAATACAGCTATCTGATGTACAACCAAAACCACATTGCCCCCTTTTTCAGAAGGTAAAGTCTTCGAGTGATGTTCACTCTTCTCCTTGATATTCTGTGCCTTAGATACTATGATGTAGAATTTACAAAACTTGAATACTATAATATAAAGTCATTTCATCTTATATTACATGATAAGGGAACGAAAGGGGAAAGAAAACAAATATGATAGTTGTAGTTTTCATTTCCATAACTGGTCCCATGGTCATAGTTGGTATTTATAACTATCTTCTTCCGCTACCATTCTATATTCCCTTTGTCTTCAGCAGGTACTTCAGGTGGTCCTGGTTCTTTTCCTCGTGGGGGGACCCAGACTCTCATTCCCGAAGTGTATGGGCCATTAGCAGTCCTGCCTGGATTGGCTTGTAGTTTTCCATTGAAAATAGGAATCACAGGGCATGCTAATACTAGGGGACATCTAAAGGATCCAGACGTCTTTTTACCTCCACTGTGGAGTCCATGAGGTTGTTGCAAATGTTAAATGAGCCATAATAGCTACAACAAAGTGTTAAAATTGTGTCTGAAAAAGTGAAAGCGCTTAATCAATGTTAATTTTCTTTTTTCCTCCTCTATCTGCCGGTACCCAGCCCAAGTTCCTCTTTCAACACAAATGTGTTTAAATAGGTGATTGCTAAGGAGGATGAGGGGGAGCTTTTATGATATATTTTCAAACTTCTAGAATGGTAATGTTTAGCTAAAATAGATTTTTTTTTTTTTTTTAAAGCAAAGTTGCTTTAGATCTCTGCTCAGCAGTCAGTGTTCCCACAGCTGACCTCAAAAGTTTTGTAATTGGTAGAGTAGCTCTGAGCCCTGGGTTAAGGCTTTGAAAAAGTAGCGTACTTTTTTTTTTAATACTCATCACTTCAGTTGAAAACATTGTTCAATGCTTGCAACTCCTTTATGCATCGGGGACAGAAGTGGGATGTCGGAGTGTTCCAAAGTATCTTCTACTATACTCGGAAAAAATATATTCAGTTCCTAAATTTCAGGTTTCTATGCTGTTAAATAAGCAGCATGAAAGACAAGATTTCTTTTCCACTTTCTTGATTCAAGGGTCGAGTGGTGGAAAATATCTCAAAGCGATGCGGAGGATTCCTGAGGAAGCTCAGCTTGCGAGGCTGCATTGGTGTTGGGGATCCCTCCTTGAAGTAAGTCAAATCAGGGCGACTCACTCTGTCATTGCAGCTGGCAGCTGACATTTTCATCAGCAAATAAACCAAGCATATTACGTGCTTTTCTTCTGCTAAATTCGTTCTATGGTAATTTGTGTAGAGTAATGAGAGGATCATGACTTTGGAGTCAACAGGCCTGGGTTAGAAGCTGAGCACCATTGTTGTTAGGGATGTGACCTTGGGATGAATTATTTTGCCTTCTGCATCCATTCTCCTGCAAAGTAAAGGTGGTTATAGCACCTACATGAGAATGTCAGGAGTATCACGTGAAATAACATGTATGAAGTGCCTCGCACACAAGAATATTATAACATTAGTTCACCTCTCTTCAATTCCTGTCTTCACTTTTCCATCTTCCTAGTTTTCTTCTCATAATTGTGACCACCTTTTAATATTATACTAATTAACAAAATCATTCTTTCAAAAACTTCCTTAGCATAACCTGGAATTTTGCTTACTTGGAATGGAATGTGATTATCACATTCATTTTATTATGGTTAGCAATATATTCTATCCAACCAAATCAAATGCCCTCTTCTTGCTGAGTAGCTATTATTTATTGGAAATGTCATCAGTCCAATGTTAAGATGTGTTTTGAGCTTTTCTGGAGACAAGACATAATTAAAACCTTTATATCCTTATTATTGTGGCTTCTAGTATTGTTTGCGTTTGTCTACCTTGCACACACTACCCCCTAGAACCTTCAAAAAAGACTTCATCTCTTGCAGATTAAGCGTTACTACAGAATACATCTATTGCAGACCTCCAGTAAGAATGTACAGTTTATAGTGATTGAAGACAGAATTTGTAATTGAAATGTCTGCTACACCATTGCTAAGAAAATTGATTCATACCATCTTTTAAGGATGAAAATACTCCCTTTGAATGTTATGGAACAGTGATTTTTTTTTTAAATCAAGAAATTCAGATCATCAGACTAAATTTTCTGCTACGTCAAAAGCTTTATAAACCAGTAGAATAGATTGATTCTATTTTAACAGGAAGCTTAAATGTACCAAATAGGTCCTTAGATAATTTAGAATAGTGAGCATAAGTCTAATAGTGGTTCCATTAAGGAAATTAAAATAAATGTGAAACCAGGTGCTGTACGCGTAAAAAATAAAAAATAAATAAGGGATTGTAAGCTGACAAGGTCCTTGCAATCTGTGTGTCAACCAAGGGTTGCCTCGCCTAAAAATAAACAAACAAATAAATAAATGTGAAGATGTACATTGTCAATGACGAATGTCGAAGAAATATATTTTTATCTTGGCAATTGGAAAAAAGCCATAAATACTAGAAAAACTCTCCTATAAGGCTAAGAATGTCCATTGGTTTACAATAAGTTTTAGAGCAGAAATCTATATTAATATCTATATACATTCTAATATGTGAGACCAGATTGCTGTGAGAAATAATAAACATAACCAGAATTATGACTCAGAATTTTGTCAGTGCCTCCAGTGTTTTATTTATAATCACTTAGAATCAGCCTTGGCAGATTCTAGAACTCTGCCCTTGCATGTTTACTGTTATTTTGAAGGGAGGGGGCTATTCATTTATAAATGTTTACTGAACCCCTACTATTCCAGACACTGATCAGACAATGGAGATACAGTAGTAGTCAAAATAGATGAAAATCTCAGTAGTAATAGATCTTGCATGTGTATTCTCTGTAACTCCTACTCTATCTTTAAATATTAAGTCCTGTGGATTTTTAACAACTTTATTTTGATATATTGAGATACAATAAACTGACATGAAGTGTACAATTTGATAAATTTTGATGTGTGTATATAGCCATGAAAACAATACTGTAATGAACATGGGTCCCACAAAATTTCCTCGTGCACCTTTGTAATTTCTCCCTTCCATCTACCCCTGTCTTCGCCCTATCTCTAGGGATCCATCTATTCATTTGCTTTCTGTCACTATAGGTTAGTTTGCATTTTCTAAAATTTTATATTTACTTATATAGAATGTATTTTTTTTTTTTTTTGGCCTGGCCTCTTTCACTAAACATAATCGATTTGAGATTCATCCGTGTTGTTGTGTGTATCAATAGTCCATTCCTTTTTATCGCTGCGTAGTAGTCCATTGACAAATATATTACAATTTATTCATTCATCCGTTAATGGGTGTTTGGATTCTTTCCAGTTTTTAGTCATTACATATAAAGCTGCTATGAACATCTGTGTGCAAGACTTTGTATGTCATATGTTTCATTTCTCTTGGGTGAATACATAAGAGAGGAATGGCTAGATCATTTGGTAGGTACATGTTTAACTTTTAAGAAACTTCCAGACTGTTTCTCAAAAGGATTGTACATTTTACATTCCCACCAGAAGTGCATGATACTTCTGGTTCCTCTATGTCCTTGCCAGTACTTGGTAGGTCAGTCCTTAATTTTAGCCGTTCTGATAGATATGTGTAGTGGTATCTCATTGTGGTTTTAATTTGGATTTCTCTGATAACTAATGGTGTTGAGCATCTTTTATGTAATTTTTGCTACCCATATGTTTGCTCAAATGTCTGATCAAATGTTTTGCCATTTTTTCATTAGAATTTTGTCTTATAATGAATTTTAAGAGTTCTCTGTGTTTTGGATACAAGTCCTTTATCAGATATGTGTTTTGCAAATATTTTCGCCCAGTCTGTGGCATATCTTTTTTCTTTAACTGTCTTTTGAAGAAAAGTGTTTAATTTTAATGAAGTTTAATTTATCATTTTTTTCTTTTATGAATGATGCTTTGGTGTTATATGTGAGATCTTTGCTTAACAAAAGGTAATAAAGAGTTTCTCCTGTGTTTCTAGTTTTGTAGTTTAGATCTATGATGTATTTTGAGTTGATTTTTGTATATGATGCGAGGTATAGATGGAAATTCATTTTTTTGGCCTGTAATGTCCTGTTCTAGCAGCACATGCAGAAATGCCAATCCTTTCTCCAGTGGACTGCCTTTGTACTTTGTTGAAAATCAGTCGTCCAGATAATAGAGGGACTATTAGTGTGCTGTCTGTATTTTCCATTGATATATCTTTATACCTAACCACTGTCTTGATGACTGTAGCTTTATAGTAAATCTTGAAATCAGGTAATATTAATCTTCCAACTTTGTTCTTTTTCAAAGTTGTTTTGACTCTTCTAGATCCATTGCATTTCCGTATAAATTATATAACCATCATATCAATTTCTACAGAAAAGCTTACTAGAATCTTGATTAGGATGGTGTTGAATCCGTGGATCAGTTTGGGGAGAATTGACTTTTAATAGCACTGAGTCTTCCATCCCATGAACATGGTATCTCTCTCCATATATGTAGATGTTTTGAAATTTCTCTAAGCATGTTTTATAGTTTTCAGTGTACAGGTTGTGCACATCTTTTGTCATATTTAACCTTAAGTTTAATAAAATGCTATTGTAAATGGTATTTTTTATTTCAATTTTTGATTGTTTATTGTTAGTAAATAAAAATACTGCTTTTGTACATTGAACTTTTATCCTGCAACTTTAATAGACTCACTTAGCTTTAGTAGCTTTTTTTGTTTGTTCTTTTGAATTTTCTATATAGACAATCATCTTACCTATAAATGAAGATAGGTTTTCTTCTTTGTTTCCAATCAATGCCTTCTACTGGCTAGACTCTCTAATACAGTGTTGAATAAAAGTGCTGAAAGTAGATACCCTAGCCAGTTCTCAGTCTTCGAAAGCATTAAGTATGATGTTAGCTATAGATTGTTTGATGATGAGGGAAATTTCCTTCTATTACTAGTTTGCTGGGAGTTTTGTTTTGTTTTGAGAATAGATGTTAGATTTTGTCAAATGCTTTTTCTGCATCTTTTAGATCATATGGTTTTTCTTACTTAGTTTGTTAGTATGGTAAATTACAATGGTTGATTTTTGAATGTTAAACCAACCTTCCAACCCTTGGATAAACTCCGCTTGAGTTGTCATATATTATATGTTTTACATATTGTTGGATTCTGTTTGCCAAAATTTTGTTCATTTTTTTTTTTACTTCTATGTTCATAAGGGGTATTGTTTTATGCTTTTATTTTCTTGTGATATTTTTTGTCTGGTTTAGGTATCGAGGTAATACTGGTCTTGTAGAATGAATTGGGAGGTGTTTCTTCCTCTTCAGTTTTTTGGTAGAGTTTACGTACAATTTGTATTTTTTTTTTTTTCTTAAATAGTTGGTAGAATTCACCATTGAGGCCATCTGGGTGTGCATGTTTCTTTTGTGGAAAGTTTTAAACTAAAAATTGTATTTCTTTAATATATATACAACTGTTCAGGTTTTCTGTTTCTTCTTGAGTAAGGTTCAGTGTAGTTTTTGTCTTTCAAAAGTTTTGTCATTTCATCTCAAGTTTTTGAATTTATTGGCAAAGTTGTTTATAATACTCTCTTATCATTTTAATATTTGTAAAATCTGCAGTGATATCTCCTCTTTATTCCTGATATTGTTTTTCTTTCACTTTATGGAAGTTGTTGTCTAAAAAAATTACAGTGATTGTACAGTGCCTATTGAAATTTATATATTCTTTGAATTTTTAATTGGCATTAATAATAGTGCATTTTTAAAAAGAGCAAAAATGAGTAAATTTCTCTGAGATTGTGAATTGTTGTTATTTTTTCCCCCCGATCTGTCTGTCTATAAGTTTATTAGTTTTGTAGATATTTTCAAAGAACTAGCTTCAGACTTCATTGATGTTTTACTGTTTTTCTGTTTACTTCATTGATTTCCACTCTGATCTTTATTACTTACTTTCTTTTTTCACTTTGCATTTCATATGGTCTTCTTTTTTTCTAGTTTCTTAAAGTAAGAGCTGAGGTAATTGATTTGAGACCTTTCTTCTTTGCTAATGTGGGTCGATGCTATAAAATTTCTCCTGAAGTACTGACAGTAGCACTTCAGAAATTCTAATGCTGTTTGCATTTTCAGTTCAAAATGCATTCTGTTTCCCTTTTGATTTCTTCCTTGACCGATGGGTTATTTAGAATTGTATTACTTCTTTTCCAAATATTTGGGCATTTTCTAGATTTTTTTTGTTATAGGTTACTAATTAATTTCATTATGATCAGAGAATATACTTCTATGACTTGAATCTTTTTAATTTTATTGACACTTTTTTTTTGGTCAAGAATATGGTCTATCTTGGTAAGTGTTCCATGTGCAATTGAGAAGAATGTGTATTCTGCTGTTGTTGGATGCAGTGTTCTATACTGGTGAGGTCAAATTGGTTGAGAGTGTTGATAAAGTCTTCTATATCTTTACTGATTTTCTGACTTCTTGATTGATCAAATATTGAGAGAAATGTATTGAATTCTTTGTCTATAATTTTGGTTTTGTCTGTGTATTTCTTTTTTTTCATGTTTCTTATGCTTGGAATTTGAGTTTCTTGGATCTGTAGGTTTTTAGCTTTCTGAAATTTTGGAAAAATTTTGGCCATTATTTTTTCAGATATTTCCCCCCTTTCCCCATCTCCTCCTATTTAGGGACTTCAGTCACATGTATATTAGGTTGCTTGAAGCTGTCTCATATTCATACGGTGTTCTTTTGTTTTGTCTCCATGTTTCATTTTGGATAGTTTCTATTGCTGAGTCTTCAAGTTCACCAATCATTCCTTTTACAGTGTCTTATCTGCTGTTAATCCAATCCAGTAAATTTTCGTTTCAACCATTTAAAAGTTTAAGTTGAGGCTTTAAAAAATATATTACATGTCACTGTATAACATGTTTTATAACATGTTTAATCTTTAGCTTCATAGAACTGTATTAGAACATAGTTGTAATACCTTTTAATGCCTTCGTTTGCTATTTCTAATATCTGTGTCAGTTCTGGGTCAGCTTTGATAGAGTGAATTTTCTCCTCATTATGGATATATTTTCCTTTGAATGCATGGTAATTTTTTGTTCAATGCCAGGCATATTAAATTTTACTTTGGGTGCAAATGTTTTTGTATTCCTGTAAATATTCTTGAGTTTTGTGCTGAAACACAGTTGAGTTACTTGGACATACTTTCCTTCAGGTTTTGTTTTTAAAATTGTTAGGTTGGGTCAAATAGTGTTTAGTCTAGGGCTAATTATACTTCACTCCTGAAGCAAGATCCTTCTCAGTACTCTACCCAGTGCTCCATGAATTATGATGTTTTTCATCGTTGGCTGGTGGGAATGGGCACTATTCTTGGCCCTGGTTGAGCTCTGGCTGTTGTTCCCTATATAATGCTTTTTATTGATCTTTTCTCTGGCTTTGGGTAGTTTTCTCTCATGCATGCTCTGATCAGTATTCTACTGAATTCTTGAGGGGAACCCTTTGCAGATCTCTGAAGTTCTGTCTTTGTGAAGTTCACTCTTTTCTGATAACTCTAACTGCCTTGGTCAGACTTTTGGCCCCATAGCTTCAACTCAAGGAGGAGGCTCCAGCCTTGTTCCCTTCCCTGCAAGTATATAAGAGTGACATGTGGTTTGAGACCAGCTTTTGGTGCTATTTGGGTACTGCATGGAAGAATCAAGACTGAATCCTATAATTTAGGTTGAAGCTGTATTTTAAGAAAATGCAGACAACCTTGCTGAATATGTTAAGCAGTTAGTGGTGAGTAAGGGGTGTTTAATTTTCTGCTCTGGCCTTGTGCTACTAACCCGCAGATCACCGAGGAAGTTGCCCTTCATAACTCAGTGTCTTCACCAGTAAGTAGATAATTCTTGATACTGATCAACTACTGACCCTATCAGTGGCCAGAGACAGTTTCTCCAGAAAGGCCCCAGGGTAACCAAGTGGCAGCATGGCACGATGCAAGAAAAATTTGGCCCTTTGCTTCCAAATGATTTTTCCATAGAGGGAAGTTAACAGGGAGCTAGGCTTCCATTCTTAGATGACCACCAAGGTGAAGGAGAGTTACAGCTGATATATAGTCAGTCCGGAGCTTTGCTTTTCAAAGTGTGGTCCCTGGAGTAGCAGTACTCACATTACCTGGGAGCTTCTTAGAAGCGCAGACTATCAAGTAATTTGCCTAGATTTACCGTCAGGATCTGTACTGTGACAGGAACCCCAGCTGTTTCATGTGCACCTTAAAGTTTGAGGAGCACTAGTGCCTATAGTCAACAATAATGTATCGTACATTTGAGAATTTGGTAAGAGAATGGATCTCGTGTTATGTGTTCTTTGCACAGTAAAATGAATGTTTTAAGTCTGAGGAGCACTGTCCTAAATGCGTTTGGTCACGCTCGCCCTCTAGTGGCTGCCCCGCAACTTGCAGGGAATTTTTAGATGTTTTCTCATTTTAGGACCTTCGCACAGAACTGCCGAAACATTGAACATTTAAACCTCAATGGATGCACAAAGATCACTGACAGGTGAGTAATGCAAACTAGTCTGGTGACTGATTGGCCATGGGGAGAGTCAAGGGAGGGAAACATGGTTGAAAATATCTTTAGTGCCTCTGCTCTTTTTCAGCACGTGTTACAGCCTTAGCAGATTCTGTTCCAAGCTGAAACATCTGGATCTGACCTCTTGTGTGTCCATTACAAACAGCTCCTTAAAGGGGATCAGGTAAGAGCGAGTACCTGTTGTCTGCGGTCAAGAGACGTATCCAAAGCTATGAACATTTTGGTGTGTCTGAAACCTTTCTAATGGTCTCATTGGAGCCAGAAATAGGTGACTCAGGTCACAGAGGTTCTCTCTCCCCTCAGTTGCTCGTGATTTACTAAACTCAAACTGGATGATAAACTCTCTGTAGGATAGACCATACCCGGGTGGTTTTGTTTCTTGTTCTCTCAGTGAGGGCTGCCGAAACCTGGAGTACCTGAACCTCTCTTGGTGTGACCAGATCACGAAGGACGGCATCGAGGCACTGGTGCGGGGCTGCCGAGGCCTGAAAGCCCTGCTGCTGAGGGGCTGCACGCAGGTACGAGGGGGTCAATGCGGCTTGTTTACCTAAGGTGGGGTGTGGGCACCTCCTTAGGGAACTGGCTGTAGCCCTCACCTGGTTCCATCCCTCTTTTGCTTTTTCTGTTTTCTCAGTTAGAAGATGAAGCTCTAAAACACATTCAGAATTACTGCCATGAGCTCATGAGCCTCAACTTACAGTCCTGCTCAGTAAGTAACAGGCCTCCCTGTGTGCACCTCTGTCCCATGTTGTCTCTCCCAGGAATCTGCTGCATGCCCCACTGCGAAGCACAGTGGGCAGGTGCAGCGGGCAGGTGGGATGATTGCCACACCCTAATTTCTCATCCTGTGTCCTTGTATGATCTATCCGTTTGACACAAGATGAAAGGACAACAATCCCAACAAAAAGGCCAGTACAAAGCCACTGACATTTCCCCTACAAATAATATAGATCGGGGTCCTGGTTTATTTTAAGATATTAGAAATGCTGTCACTAACCTGAACAATTCAGGGTAAGGTCTCAGTGGTTTTTTTTGTTGTTGTTTTTTACTTATAAACTGGATGATGACATCTCTCATATTGTCTCAGTAAATAAAAAGAAATAACAGATGGGAAAATGCTTTGAAAAATAAAAGGAACATGCAAGAGCAGGGTGTATTTTTTGTCAGCATTAGCCTGTGAAAAACTATTGTTCCTTTTTCATTGACGTTGTAAATATTGATAATTGAAACCCAGTACATCCTACTGGATTTCCCAAGGGAAACAAATTTTGAGGATAGTAAAGGAAATCCCATGCATTTGGCATTTAGCGAATGAATCGTTAATCTTTAGAGTCCTTGATGGTGGGAGATAAAAGAGAAACTATCTTCTGGACACATACTGACCTTATACGCTTGAACTGCATGTAGGATAACACTGGCAGATGAATTGAAGTGTAATATAAATGTACATGTTTATTTCTATATAAATTAGTAGGTGTAAATAAAGATATTATTTTGGATGTTCATTTGTCAATAATTTAATTTTGCTATATTTAAACATTTGAGGAAATAGAGATATATGATTTATATGGTCGATATGTAAAGCATTAATCTATAGAAATTCAACCAAAAAATTAATATGTCACTTTATCAGGCAAGTTTCATGAGCTGTTTATTTAATCTGACTTTTAATACAAGTTTATGAATTTTTCCTGAAAAAAAGTCAAATGAATCTGGGACAGGAAATGGAATTTTAAAATATCACACTCTGTATTAGTAATGCTAGAATATTTTTAAAGCTGTGCAGCGATAACATAAATACATGTCTGCCCTGTACTTCACCTTATTTTGTTTAAATTATTAGGGTGAAATGCTAGTAACTGGCAATGCAAACTAATCGACCAACAGTAGATCTTATTTTTCTGCTGTTCCCGTTCCAGTATTGTTGGTGCCTTCTGACTTGCCTTCCTGTTTTGGTTTTCCCCAGCGCATTACGGACGAAGGCGTGGTGCAGATTTGCAGGGGCTGCCACCGGCTGCAGGCCCTCTGCCTTTCCGGCTGCGGCAACCTCACGGACGCCTCTCTCACAGCCCTGGCTTTGAACTGCCCAAGACTTCAGTGAGTGCGCCAACCTTTTGCTTTGCAGCTCGGAGCTTGGCCAGGTTGAACGGGAGAGCTTCCTGTAGGCGGGGAAAGGGTTGCCAGCTGATGGAGTAGGTGCTGGCAGAGTAGGCAGTGGCTGCGTTGTTAGCTTTTGTCCAGTGGATTGGCAGGGGACAACGTGTAATTCAAATCCAGTTCGTTTAGGGATGTATGGGAGAGTACTAAACTGTCCACCACCAGGGACTATGAACCTTAATTTCTTGATGGACCGTACACATTTGCCCGCCTGATTTGCCTCATCCTGTTACTACTTTGACATCAGAGTGAACTGACAGTGAGCAGGACGATAGCCTCACACCCACGTCATCAGTTTTTCCTCTAAACCAGCTGCCAAACGTACAGAGTGCGGGGAAGAAGAATCCCAGTCATCTCATTTATCATCTTCCCCCAGCTGGAGGAAAAGTTTTAAATAATTATTTACTTTGGGCTTCTCCACATAACACTGTGACTATTAAAACTTTAATAATGGCAACAAAATAGTAATCATAGCCTTTTGGCTCTCTGAGCGGCACCATGGCAGTCGGCAAGAACAATCGCCTTACAAAAGGCGGCAGAAGAAAGTGGTTGACCCATTTTCTAAGAAAGGTTGGTATGACGAGAAAGCACCAGCTATGTTCAATGTAAGAAATATTGGGAAAACACTAGTCACAAGAACTCAAGGAACCAAAATCGTATCTGATAGTCTCAAGGGTCATATTTTTGAAGTGAGCCTAGCTGATCAATAGAATGATGAAGTTGCATTTAGAAAATTCAAGCTAATTACTGAGGATGTTCAGGGCAAGAAGTGTCTGACATTTTCATGGCATGTACTCTGTGGTCAAAAAATGGCAGACCATGATTGAAATTCATGTTGATGTCAAGACTACTGATGGTTATTTGCTTCGTCTGTTCCGTGTTGGTTTTACTAAAAAAACACAAGTCAGATTCGGAAGACCTCTTATGCTCAGCATCAACAGGTCTGCCAGATCTGGAAGAAGATGATGGAAATTATGACCCAAGAGGTTCAGGCAAATGACTTGAAAGAATTGGTCAATAAATTGATTCCAGATAGCATTGGAAAAGACATAGAAAAGGCTTGCCGGTCAATTTATCCTCTCCATGATGTCTTTGTTAGAAAAGTCAAAATGCTGAATGAAGAAGCCCAAGTTTGAGTTGGGAAGACTCTGGAAAAGCCACTGGGGACGAGACAGGTGCTAAAGTTGAACGAGCTGATGGATACGAGCCAGCAGTCCAAGAATCTGTTTAAAAATTCAGACTTTTCACAGTGACAAACAAAAGCTATTTGTGATATTTAAAAAAAAAAAAAAAATACTAATCATAGTTGACATCAGTTTAACTCCAGGCTCTGTGTTAGGCACTTTTATAAGCATTATCTCATTTAATCCTCACTATATCTCTAGTAGGTAGGTACTGTTATTCTCACTTGTTTTCCAGAGGATAAACTGAGACTCAAAGAATAATCACTTAGGTAACATGATGAGTAAGAAGTACAACTAGAATTCGAACTTGTCAAGTTTTACTTCAGAACCAGTAATCTTAACCCCTATACAATAGGCAGAAAAAGGAAACTTGCTTTTTATCCTTTATTTACCAATGAAACTGACCCATTTCTCATGCTTAACACCAGTTACCTGTCTTTTAAGGGTTGTCTTTGTCCATTTTTTCTCACTGTTATATTAGGGAAGATTCCAGATAATTTTGGTATTTCTGCATAGAAAGAATCTGTGTTATTAAAACTGGTCAGAAAGGAAGGCAAAATGATTGCTATAAGGGAGTATTTAACTTAAAAATGTTATGCATACCTCTCTGTTAAGCATGAGTGTTGAGAACTAACTGTGTTTCAAGGGCTGTAAGTTTTAAAAAATTTCCTTTAGGGTAACTGAGAATTTCAGTAAATATCAAGATAATTTTGTTGAGTGAGTAAAAGTTTATTTTAATTGTGTTGAAAAGTCAATAGATATTGGAAAAAATATTTAAAAACAACAGCAACAGTGGGAAGTGCTGGGCAGAGTCCTGGATTTACTGAGTTTGGGGTGGGACTATGGGACTATGGGACTTATGGGATTTAGGTGAGGTCATATTCCTCCCTAAGCTTCATTCTCCTCATCTATCCTGTGGGGACAGAATTTGCATTTATAACCCTTAGGGCTGTACCAGAAGCAAGAGTGTGTTAAGGAACAGAATAAACTCAAGAGTGTGCTCTGTAAAGCACGTGTTTCTGTTGCTAACCAGTTGCTACTTTTTTCCCCCCTGTGCTCTTTATCCCAGGATTCTGGAGGCTGCCCGATGTTCCCATTTGACTGACGCAGGCTTTACACTTTTAGCTCGGGTAAGGCAGACGTTTTAAAAAACAAAACCAAACTCTAATTCACTTCTCTCATTCAAAGTGACTTGGACTGGTTTTGGAGTATGCAAAAAAGTACCTTCAGATGACAGACACCAAGAAGAATAGAGTCCTTGGAGTGTGTTGTACATTTTTTCCAGGTGGCCAGAAAGCTAGGGAGGTCCCGTAGAGGACCACTTGGTCAGGTGAGATCATGAGAGAAGCCTTCGCCCTGGAAAGAGATGCCCTTCCTCATGTAGAGACCCCAGCGCAGCCCCTTAGCAGCCTCCCCTAACTGGGCTGTGCCCTGCAAACACGGACCACCATGGGGACCCCTCCGGCCTGCTGCCGGGAACCCATGTCCTCTTGGGGATGCTCATATACTCTTCCTCCTACCCCAGCTCTCACCTGCCCATACTATGGCTCAGGGCCGTACCCCATGTCCTCCCAGAACCTATTCTGTGGCTGAAATTTACATGCTGATATCTGTGAGCCATATGGAAAGTGTAGGCCACTACCTTTCCAGAATGAGAGAAGGAAGCACAGCCCAGGGAAGCCCTAGTCCCATTTCCAAAGTGAATGTGATTCAGAGGGCACCAGCTCAGAAGTGCTAGCTCACTGGGTCATTTTCAGAACAAGTCCATTTCTTAATAATTAAGAGAGCAAGGATACTGGGCCAGTACTCAGAGGGACAGAGCAAGCTACTACTGTTGCCCTCACCACTGACTGCATGGTGAGGAATGTCTTATGGACTCTTTCAGAACTGCCATGATCTGGAGAAGATGGATCTTGAAGAATGCATCCTGGTGAGTGGATCCCCGACAGTCCTGCAGGGCTGTCCCTCAGTCCCTGCCAGCCGGCCAGGCATAGTGAGACTCTGGCTGGCTATATTTGGCCCCACCCTGCCCTAGCGTAGGTGTCAGGGCTTGGGAGCCCTGCACAGGGCAGGGAAATGTGTAAACTTTGGGCTCTTCTCAGTCATCAGACAGCTACAGCTGAGGTCAGAATACCTCCATCTTTTGCCAAACAACAACAACAAAAAAACCTCTTATCTTCACAGAACTCAAGAGAAAAATAAGTTTGCATGTCCAGTGATGAGGTGACTACATAGAATCCTGGGGAACCTGCCTTGCCCACTTCCTCTTTGTCTCTTGTCACTAGGCCTCCTTGGGGCACCAGAGACCAAAGAACAGCTTTGCGTCTCCAGGAATGGGCACAGTTGAGGTTGCTGGTGAAGAGTGGGGCTTCCAGCCCGTGTGCTCGAGATGAGATTTTAATTCTCTTTTGCACCTTCTTTTTATTGTGTTCAGAAGCCAGAATTAGGTCTTATATTATGGTGCAGAAGCCCCATTGACACAACATCTCTCTCTCCAGATAACTGACGGCACACTCATCCAGCTCTCCATTCACTGTCCGAAGCTGCAAGCCCTGGTGAGTCTGAGTTTTTGTGACATTATTCACCCCTTAGAGATGAAAGGACCCTCCTACCACAGCAAGTGTCTGGGTTCCCTTTCTGTTAAGGGTATCAGAAATCTATTACTTAGGCTAACCAGGAGGCAGGGTTATCTAAGTGTTACTGTGTTCATTTTAGGATATGAGCCTAATATAGGGACCTATGTTCTTACCACTTCATTCAGTTTCTCGTTCATCATGTCAGGTAGTTAAATTAGCATGTTAAAGTGATATAATCCAAGACAAAAGATTGAGGCAATCGTTGTTATATATTTACATTTCATATCCGTATGCGTGTGTATATCTGTGGTATTATTTGTGATGTCTCCACTTCCATTTCTGATTTTATTTCAGCCACTTTTTCTTGTTTATCTTTTAAACAAGCCAGCTCTTGGTTTCATTGATCTTTTCTATTGCCTTTTAGTCTCTATTTATTTCTGCCGTGAACTTTATTTCCTTCCCTCAAATAACTTTGGGCTTCATTTGTTCTTTTTCTAGTTCCTTAAGTTGTTTTAAGTTGAGATTTTTCTTGTCTTGAAATAGGCATTTATCATTATCAACTTCCATCTTAGAACTGCTTTTACAGCATCCCATTAATTTTGGACTGTTGTATTTCAATTTTCATTTCTCAAGGTATTTTTTTAAATTTCCCTTCTGACTTAACCCAGTGGTGGTTCAGTAGCATGTTGTTTAATTTCCATATTCGTGAATGTTTGAGTTTTCTTCTAATTGATATCTCGTTTCATACCATTGTGGTCAGGAAAGATGCTCGATATTGATGCTTGTGGCATAACACATGATCTATGCTGGAGAATGTGCCACATACACTTGAGAAGAATGTGCTGCTTTTGGATAGAATGTTCTGTATATATGTTAATCCATCTGATTTAACATGTTTAAGGTCAGTGTTTTCTTACTGATTTTTTATTTTGTCTAATATCTATTGTGGTAAGTGTGGTATTTAAGTCTCCTACTATTATTGTATTGTGATCTATTTCTCCACTGAGATCTGTTAATATTTGCTTTATATATTTAGGTGCTCCTATGCTGGGTGCATAAATATTTACAGATATTGTATCTTCTTGTTGGATCCACCCCTTTATCATTATGTAATATCCTTCTTTGTCTCTCACTATGTTGTGACCGAAATAACCAGGCCCAACTCAAGCGCTCTAATCCAAGAGACAGTTTATTAGCCGGCGGCTGTCCTTGCAAAGGAGCAGCCCCGAGACGCAGGGGCACAAAGGTTTTAAGCCCTCGATTCCATCCCCCACATCTTAATTTTTACCCAAAAGACTATATCTCCTACATTCATTAACTGATAACTAAGAGGTGGGTAAGCAAGCAGGGTTACAGAAGCAGAATGCGTCATTGTTAAAATATTTTGTACCTATAGGCAGTGATCCGGCCAGTAAATCCCTCTAGTTAATAAATTTTTAGCAGATAACTAACTAGAAGTGAGACATGGTGGTTAGCACGTACCATGTCTTATCCTTAACCTATTGTTTCTAAAGGTGAGGTCACTACAACTATAGTCTTTGTTTTAAAGTCTGTTTTATCTGATATAAGTAGAGCTACCCCAGCTCTCTGTTGCTTTGTATTTGCATGGAACATCTTTTTCTGTCCCTTCACTTTCAGCCTCACTACTCTGTGTTCTTGCATCTGAACTGAGTTTCTTATAGACAGTGTATAGATGGGTCTTGTATTTTTATCCATTTAGTTACTCTGTCTGTTGATTAGAGAATTTAGTCTTTTACACTTAATTGATAGGTATATACTTATTCATTCCATTATGGTCATTGTTTTCTTGCTGTTTTGTAGTTCCTCTTTGTTCCTTTTCTCTTTTGCTCTCTTCCTTTGATTTGATGACTTTAGTGGTGTGCTTAAATTCGTTCTCTATCTTTTGTGTATCTACTACATTTCATTGCGGTTACCATGAGGCTTATGTAACACAACTTAAATTTCTAATAGCCTATTTTAAATTGACAATTAAGTCTGAATACCTCTGAAGTTCTGGTTTTACTCTCTCTCTGCCTACATTGTTTTCAGTGTTACAGTTTACATCTTTTTATCTTGTATATCCCTAATTAATGTAATTTTAGGTTTTTTTTTTTCCACTAATTTTGACTTTAACCATCATACTAGCTCTGTAAGTGATTAATCCACTCCCTTTACTAGGTGTTTACATTTATCAGTGAGATTTATACTCTCATTTTCTTGCTCCTAATTAGTGTGCTTTCTTTTCAGGATAACGAAGTCCCATTAACATTTCTTGTTAAGGCCTGTTCAGTGGTGATGAACTCCTTTCGCATTAGCTTGTCTGGAAAACTATCTTTCCTTCAATTGCAAATGATCACCATGCTGGGGGGAAGTGTGCTTGGTTGGAAGTTTTTTTCTTTCAGCATTTTGAATATATCATGCCACTCCCTTCTGGCCTGCAAAGTTTCTGCTGAGAAATGTAATAGTTATGGGGGTTCCTTTGTACATAACAAGGTGTTTTCCTCTTGTTGCTTTGAGATTCTCTGCTTGTCTTTTAACTTTTTTATATCTTAATTATAATGTATCTTGGTGTGGGTATCTTTGGGTTCAACTTAATTAGAACTTTGGGTTTCTTGGATCTGGCTGTTCTTTTCCTTTCCCAGGTTAGGTAAGTTTTCAGCCAGTATTTCTTCAAGTAAGTCTTGTGTCCCTTTCTCCTGGGACCCCAATAATGTGACTGTTAGTTCACCTGATGTCCCATAAGTTCCTTAGACTATCTTCACTTTTTTTTTTTTTGCTTTTGTGATTGGTTGAGTTCCACTGCTGTCTTCAAGTTCACTGATCCTTTCTTCTGCTTCATCTGCTCTTGAACCCTTGTAGTCCAGTTATTGTATTCTTCACCTTCGTGACCTCAGTTTAGTACTTTCTTTTATTTTCTCTTTGTTGAAGTTCTCACTGTGTTCATTCATTCTTTTCTCAAGTATGGCAAGTGTGGTAAGCATCTTTGTGACCATTATTTTGAATTATTGGGTACGTTACTTACCTCCATCTCATTTTTTATTTTTTCAACTTTTAGGTTGTTGTTTGGAACATATTCCTTTGTTTCTTCATTTTGCTTGACTCTTTGTTGCTTTCTACGCATAAGAATACACAGCCAACTCTTTCAGTCTAGGAGTGACCTTATGTAGATGAACCTTATTTTTCAACCCTGTGCTAGCTCTTAGTTGTCTCTCAAACCTTTGTGGTTGTCTAAGCAGCCCATTTCTTTCTTTTTAATAGCCCCTAGTAGTTGAGGGTGTGCCAAGACCTTTCAGCGTCCCATGGGGAGGATCTCTGTCAGTATCTAGATGCAGGCTGATTGGAAGTTAGACCCTCAGGCAGCCAATTATGCAAATATATATAATCCTATGAAACTGCAAACGAAAACTGCTGTCCACCAGTGCCAGGTGAGCTTGAGGTGTCCCCTGGGTGACAATTATAAAAACCAAGGCTCCAGATGAGTGTATACACTGGGAGATACTGGTGAATTGTAACAAGGCAGAGGGACAACAAAAAGATGGCATGCACTGGCCAATGTTCCTTGAGTACGTTCGTAGGCCTCTAGATGTGCATCAAACTTGAAGCTCCAGGGCAAGCAAACAGGTCTGGGCGTGTGTTTCATTCGGCTGTCTGTAAAGTGCCTTGAGTGTTGTAGCCTGCCAAGAACGATCTCTGATAGTTAAAGACCCATGGAACCTGAGAGAGCAAGCTACCCTGGCCACCCCAGGTATCACAGAGCACCGGTGACAGCTGCAAAAACCGATGCATCTGAAGTATAAACCGGGGCACCAAACACATGTAAGAGCTTCCTCCCAGGAGATACTGGCCCTCTGCAGTATGGTGGGGGCAGCACAAAGATAGCACTTGCCCTCCCATCTTCAGAATTACAGTCAGCCCTCAGATGTGTGTTTAATCAGAAGCCTGCCCCTCAGGCTATGATGATAAAGTAATAGGCCTGGACTTCCTGGGACTGTTGTTTCTTGTTGTGCCCTTGAGATGGCAGTTGTTCAAGAAGTCTTTCTCTGTTGGTTACAGTCCCGATGAACATAAGCCCCACTAGCCACCAGAGCCAAGAGATGTAAAGGTGCCCCTGGCAGCAGCCACAGTAACTAGGGCACCAAACATGTAAAAGCTCCCCTCCAAGAGACATAGCGCTCTGCAGCAGGGCAGATGGCAAGTACCAGGATGGAGCCACCAGCTGGAGAGAGGCAGAGTGAGATTATAGACATGGCACCCACCAGGAAAGAAAAAGCCCTGAGGTTTAAAAAAAAAAGCAAACTCTCTGGCTAGAGCAAGGCAAGAGCCCACCAAGGTGGTGCCTGCCGGTCTCCATCACCAGAGAGCATGACACAGGCCAAGTGGGTGTCAGGTCGGATGCCTTCCCCTCAGGCTGGCACTCCCAAGACAGACAGACGAGCCTCTCTCACATATGTTCAACTGCCCCTCGATCTACACTAGACCCCGGGGCAGGTGAGTGTGAGTGTGCGAGCCCTTTAAGGACTGTTTTTCAGATAGCTGTAGTCTTGTGGACGTGAGCCTGTTGGTTTTCAAAGCCAGCTCTTCTGGAGGCTTGTCTCTAAAGTGTAAGTGTAAATCTTAAAAACAGAGTGCCCAATGTAGGGTGTAAACCCTGCACTCCTCAAGGAGAAGCTCTGGGTTTTGAGTTCCCTCTTACTGTAGGTCGCAACACTGGGAGTGGGGCTGGTGACAAGATCGTCGTCCCAGCCTCTCCTACCCGCTTTGACGTGGGCCTTCTCTCAGTTGCCCGACGAGTAGGAGCTGCGCAGCCAGTTTTTAGTCCCCCCACTCCCCAGAGGAATTTGTTCTGTATGCAGCTATAGACTGACTGTTCATGGCAGAAGATGAGTTCAGGATCCTCTTATGTTGCCATCCTGACCCAGACCATCCCTTGCGATTTTGGTTTCCATTTTCAGTCAGAAAGCAAGAAAAACCACTGTCCAGCTGCAGCAAACCCATGGCTGAAGGGCCCCAAGGCTTTGTGTTTGATCTTCCTGTTCATTAACGGGTGCTGTGGGATACTGCACAGGCCAGCTCCCAGCTCTCCTGCTTTTCCGAGGCCATGAGCCTTGGAATGAGAGGGTCTAGCAAACATCTGTTCTTTTCCCTTCCAGAGTCTGTCCCACTGTGAGCTCATCACAGATGATGGAATCCTGCACCTGAGCAACAGCACCTGTGGCCATGAGAGACTGCGGGTACTGGAACTGGACAACTGCCTCCTCATCACCGACGTGGCCCTGGAACACCTGGAGAACTGCCGTGGCCTGGAGCGCCTTGAGCTGTACGACTGTCAGCAGGTTACGCGCACAGGCATCAAGCGGATGCGAGTAAGCATGGGGCTGGAGTTGGTACCCCTGGCAGTTTCTAAGCAAGCAATGACTATATCAAGAATCAACATCTGTTTTCTCTATTCTGTGCTAAACCAATGGTTATGCAAACTAGTCTGGTATACTAGTGTCTCCTTAGGTGTCTTCACAATTTCCTTATTAGACCCCACCTTAGAAGATTCAGCTTCCAGAATGGGTTCCACATAGTCTGGTGATCAGCACCCTTTCCTCACAGGAGGAAAGGGGCTTGAGGTCATTACCAGAAGGAGGTGGAACATGGTCTTGGCTAATTGCCAGGTGAGAAGACTTAATAGAAAACAAATAGAACTTGGCTTTCTTTCTCCACATAGTTCACCTACATTGTTTTCTTGACTATGCTTTAAGTTTATGCAACTTTGCATTTATACCCCAGAACAGCACCAGGATGCTACAGCTGTCAAGAACTCAACTCACTTTGCATACAAGGCTAGTGACTACCCTGGGCAGAAATAGCGTTTCCCTTTGTCAACAGGAGTAGTCTAGCCGACCCCAGAAATTCTTTTTTCAAGAATTTGCCTGGAGAACTATGGGCTTTTCTAGAATTATGCCTGTAATCCTAAAAATATCAGTGTAAAGATTATTCCATTTTTTTCTATTTCCAGGCTCAGCTCCCTCATGTCAAAGTCCACGCCTATTTCGCGCCTGTCACGCCACCAACAGCAGTGGGAGGAAGTGGACATCGGCTGTGCAGGTGTTGTGTCATTCTCTGACAGCAGATGCCCAGGGCCCAAGGCATGATGAGGTGTCCCTTCCTCCAGAGGACAGTCTTCCTGGCCTTCTCTACTGTCACGGAAATCTGTTGATTCGCCACTGGGACAGGCATTTACAGGTAAAAGACTTCTCTAGAGATTGCAGTAACTCTGGTGACAGTTTTCACCTTTATTCTGCTCTGATGCAATCAGATTGAAGCCTTGTGTCAGTAAACACCTGGCAAGAGTGGCCTCAGTACAGCCAGGATCGTGCAAGAAACCTGACTTCTTACGAGGTGGGTGCCTTCCTAGGTACAAAAGTTCTGCCTCGACTTTGTCAGCATTCCTGAAACAGACCATCAGTGTTAGCACAAAGAATAAGCTATTGATTTTCTACCAGATACTTAAGACAGTGGCCTACGTTAATTCACAACAATTCCATTTTGATTAGCTGGACTTTTCCACTCTGAAGATTAAATAGCTACCTTTATCAAAAAGTGACTACTTCAAATTCATAATACCTGATAGTTTTATATGTAGAGACTTATGTGGAAGGCAAGTTAATAGGTTTCCATGAGACACCAAAGAAACAAGGACTCTAAACTGGGTGGAGCAGGGTCTTCACCTTTTGTCAACTTGTCATATACTTTTGGGGACCAAAAACTAAACTAAATCAACTCAGAGTTTGTGTTGCCTGATTGGAAATTATAAGCTGTGGCATTTGCTACAGCACACAGTGCAATTTTATTATAGGAGAAAAGTTATTCATGTCATATCTCAAAATTTGGGAGACCTTAAATAGAATTAAGGCTTAAATTATCTATAATACAATCAATTAAAAATAATGAATGGATGCATGTAGAATGGGTGTGATTTTTTTCCAAGTTTATTTTAAAATCTTAGAAATCAAGTTACACCAGAACTGTTCAAAAGTTTTATACACTTAAAACTCAGATCAAGTGTTGGCACCTTTTAGACCCATAAAAATGAATACACCGTTGCAATGTTTAAGTCAGGGTTTTATTGCTATAATCCATGGCAGATAAATCTGAACAAAACCATTTTCCAAATTCAGACCTTCCAATATTAGCTCGTGTCTGATAAGCTGATCGAGCTTCTCCCTTGCTGTCCATGTGTGTGACACTAAGATTAGGAACCATCATCACCACTTCATTGTGAACTTCTGGTAATGGTGGCCGACCCTTCCTAGCAACCACTCCCTGAACTGGAGTCCAGCGCTTATGAGAAGCTGAAGTGAAACAGCAAAAGCAAGACGTTATTTTCCTATGACTAACCATACTTCTATTAGACGGACCATGGGAGCATTTAGGACACAATGCCTCGGCTGATTCCAGAAAGAGAAGGCAGATACATATACAACCCCATAAATCAACAGGATTATCAGAATAAGCATTAAAGTCCTGATGATTTCATTGCCTTATGATACACTCCAGTATTAGCTGGTCTAAAAGTTGTGTATACCATAGGAGTTATTAATATACATTTGCACCACTGTGTGGGGGGGAAAATGACTGATACAGTATGCCATTTCAATAAAAGAACATATATAACAGACGTGCTTCAGCGATTGTGAATTACAGTTTATATTTTATGTAAATGACCAGGGCCTTCTACACATTCTCTCCTTTGAGCCAAGACACAATGACCCCATGACCTCATTTACAAAACAGAAGAACTTCTGATAAGAAAATCAGGCTGGTTTCTTCTTGAGAAAACAACACAGGGACCTCACCTTATATAACATTTGGATTGCTGTGTACTCAACATCCACACGGAACCTCCCAATTCTACGACTTGTGACATTGGCAGGAACTGGGATTTTAAATGAGACACACATTTGCAAAACAATCGGAAAACATTTATTATACTGAAATGTATACATCCTACTATTAAAAAACAAAGTAGCAAATTTGCTGGTGCCATAATTTAACCTGTTTCACTGGGATAGACTAATGCTCAATACCACTTGGTGTAAGTTCAAGTTTGATGAGCTTTTATTTTTACCCCACTTCTAAAACCCGATGAGGAATTCAAAATAGCACACAGCATTAAATGACATTTATTGTTCCATATATCTTGAGACTCAAAAAAGGAATGCTAAATAGACAAGCAAAACTCAAACAATTAGGAGAGAAGCTAGCTTCTTTCCCAAGTGACTGGTACAGAAAATATATGGTCATACAAAAGCAAAGGACAAAGGGGAGCTCTCCTGCTTTAGGGTCTATAAGAGTTATATATTTTCAAACCGAAGATGGAAATATTTAGAGACAGTGCTTGAATAAAACATAAAATGTCAAAGCTTTTACTCACTGAAGTAGTTTATCTTCTGGGAGAGATTTTAAACTCAAAATTACTCATTCCTATTTCTGCTTGAAAAACAATAAGGATCAAATAATACATTCAAAACCAAGACACTTGGGTAAACGGACGGAGATGCTGTAATTAAAATAGAATTGAAGTTAAAAAATTAGGTGTGCTACACTATAGGCCTCAAAAACGCTGATGAATTTTGGGAAAGGCTTTGGGTAAAGGAAAGCAATAAAGATGGTGGGAAAACTGCAAAAAAACCCCAGTAGATTCCCTTTAAAAAGTATACTGGCAGACAAGCATTTGGTTTTATGAAAGAGTTTTTTTTTTTTTTTTTTAAACAGAAAAGGAAACTATTATATGGTACACCAAAAGCCTCTAAATAATCACCAGAATGTTCACCCATGATCGTACTAAAGCTCAACATTTGAGAAGTATAAAGAATTTTCACGGTACAATTTAGTGTTTGATTTACGATGTCTAGTGTTTGAAGACGAATTTCAACTTGTTGATAAGGAAGACCCCTTAACGCCAAGTCAGGAACTACACTTTCCCCCGCTGTGTAGGTCACCTATTTCCAATGTCTGGGGAGGGCTTTAAAAATGTTTAAGAATGGGATGGTGCAGGGCGGGCTAGGAAGGGCAAAGACAAGGATGGAAGAAAAAGAGAACACATAATTTTAAAAGGCAATGGGGCTTCAAAAATGAAAACCAGAAACAAAATGCTAAAAATGGGAGGAGCAAGAAGTTTTTCAATAAATCTGTGACAAAGCAAAAACACAAAAGTCTTTGTACCTATTAGGATTTACACTGATCCTCTCACCAAGGTACTCTTGATAATGCAGCTTGCTTCCAGCCCGTCTTCCTGGCTCGGCTCCTCCCCGATCTGTCATGATTACATCAGATGTACACCCTTAGACATGATTCTTCCGAGAAGGTGCCGAGCCTCTTACCTGACCACCAGTTACCGCGGGAGCACGTCGCATCTCTCTGCAGACAGATTCCATGCCGGCTCCACCACAGCACTGTCCCCCAGCTCCGCCAGAGGTCAGCAGAAGGTTCAGGCAATAAAAGCCAAACTGGCACAGAAAGGTAAATGCCCACAGTATGTTTTTACATTCATTTCCAAACCACATACAGTGTAAAAAGACAGCGAAGGCTGCTTCTAGGAACTGTATCTACTGGCTTCTGCCAGGGAAGCAGGCAGCCCTGCCTGCACCATGGCCCCCAGAGCTGCACGCGTGCTGTCCCGATGTGCTGACGCTCGTGAGGACGCATGGCTACGGCAGTGACAGTGAGGAGAGTCACCTCTCATACAGCTCATTAGAAAGGTCATCTTGTGTTTTCAATATGAAACATTTCATACGGTAAAATCCAATCCCAAGACTTCTTGGATTCAGTCTTCACACACTTTTAAGCGTGACTTTATTTGGTACTGAATACAGTTCAGACTCCGTAAGACATCACTTCAAAATTATGTGGATACCACCACTATTTTCAACTGCACAAAAAGGAAAGAGAAGTTAGTTTTTTTTAGCCAAGCTTAGGAAAATCAAGACTTTTAAATTGAAAACGCCCAGAAATCTACACCCTCCTTCCCCAGTTCAGAGGTTACCTTTAAACAGTCCTACAGAAAAAAAGCTGATTAACTTGCTCTAGCTCCTCTTCCCCAAGGCAACTTTGTGTACACATTCCCTTTTTAGACATTTGCTCTTTGGTGTGTGGCCCGTGCTCCTAGCAGCACTCTGCGCCCAACACCACTTGCCAGGTCGGGGAGTCGGGTGGGGACAGAGCGGGTATGAAGACCAGAAACAAAAGTGCTGTCAGCAAGGGGGCAAGAGGTGGAGGCAGAGCAGGTGAAAACACTGTGCCAGGGTGGGCCAGCCAAGTCTATACAATGCACACAAATAAACTGAGTGCTTATAGCCATCTTTACTTTTGCCTGATGACCCGGTGTTTCTAAGGAAATTGGGAGAAGCAGGACAGGATTTCATAAAGGAACGAATGAATTTCTTCATGAGGACAAAACTATCTGACAAACAGAACCATGAGATTGGAAGAGAGATCCTGTGACATCTGACCTTAGAAATGTCCACTACTTTCACAGGACACAACTATACAATTACAGCACGAATTTCCTTTTTTAGATAATGAGTTTGTAGAGTAAAATCTTTCTTTGAGAACAAAAATTGAGAAAGGTACCCAGCTAAAGATGTGAAAGTAAAAGATAAAATGAACCAGTTCATAGTTAAAACTCAGCCTTGCAGGTACCTTGATGGCATGTGCAAAGTCAGGCGCAAAGTGAAATCATAATTTCAACAGTTTTGTGCTTTTCCCTTCAACAGCGACTTCCAAAAAGGGGTGATACATGACATCTTGCTCTTTAAGGTACAGCTTTTGTGCTAAGATTAGATTTAAATCTTAACCCACCAAGTTTTTAAGTCTCTTCTCATACAATAATTTCGCATTTAAAAATCCCTTCTTTACAGAGGACAGCTATAAAAATAACCTAAAAACAACGATCAAAATGGCAATAAGTGCATACTTATCAACAATTACTTTAAATATAAACAGATTAAATGCTCCAATAAAAAGACATTGGGTAGCTGAATGGATTAAAAAACATGACGCATCTACATGCTGCTTACAAGAGACTCACTTTGTATGTATCAGACACAGACTGGAAAGTGAAGGGATGGAAAAGGATATTCCAAGCAAACAGCCCCACACGGCCTCGAGATGCTCCTCATGTGGTTGGCTCCCTCTCACTCTTCAGATCTCAGCATTAATGACCCCTCCTCAGAGAAGCTTTGCCTGACAGCTTCACATCCCCCACCTAGATCCCCGGTATCCATAAACACACCACTTTCCTGTTCCTTCATGGCACTTAAGATATGTGTAATTATGTGCGTCTGTGCACCAATTCTGGTTTGCCTCCCCGCCAGAAGAGGAGCCCTACTGAGCCCGCGTTGTTCAGGGCCTTTCTAGCACCGAACGCTGGACTCCTCTTCCTTATCTCCACTTATTTTCTTTACAACCACTAGAAATATTATCCTGACTCATTTTTCAAACTCTCTTCTTAAAATTAGTAAAGCCAGCACTTCCAAAAGTGAGCACACAAGACAACTGCTGATTACAGGCACACACTATTTTCCATGACTCCAGCATTTCAAGACACATGCGCACATTCAAAGTACCTTTTACTGTGGAGAATAAAAAACAACTCTCATCTTGAAAGTTCTGAACCATCTAGAAGAAAGCAGATGTATAATTAAGATCCAACCATCCTTTCTTAACTGATTAAAAAAAATTAAATTTAGTAGTTAAAGGAATACATTGCTGCACAAGTACAGGACTTGACAGCCAAAATGGTAATTCATAAACACAATGTGAGGTAGTAAAAACTTACACCTGCTTCACTGGCAGCAGTGCCTGTTCAGAAGTGGTCCCCGAGAGGTCTGGCAGGTCACCCGTCTGACCCCCTGGGGAGCACTCCCTGCGGGGCCCTGTGAATAGCGACTCTGACAGCAAGTCACTGCGTATGCGCTCT